AAACCCTGCTGAGATAGGGTTTACCTATGCAGTTCAGGCTGGCCTTGAACTCACTGTGTAGCCCAGGCTGGCCTTGAACTAGTGGCATCCCTTCTGCTTTGGCCTTTAGAATGCTGGGGTTACAAGCGTGCACTACCACGCCTGGCCTTAAGCTTATAGTGTGCAAAGGTTCTAGTTCATAGTCAGCTGGCTCTAAGGCAAGACAGCAAGGCAGAGGGGCATTGCAGAGGAAAAGCAGCTCATAGCAAGCCTAAGACAGCCACACCAAGTAAGCCCCAAGAGATGAGCCTCTTTCTGTCCCTTGTATCTTATCCAGGGTACCAGCCCTTAGCACTCATGGCTTAATCTTTGCACCCTTGATCCTAACACTGTACCATGAATCGACCCCAGTGTCACACAATCTAGATCCAGTGACCGCTGAAAAGCCCACCTATGACCACATGAGGCTTTGAGGAGACATCTAGACACAAGCCATAATAAAAGGACAATTTGAGGGTTTTAAGGCAGAACTATAACACTAGACAATACCTTAGCAATAGGGAGGGGGGTGATTAAAATTTGCAAGTTGTTTAGGGTAAGTATGTGACTCTAGGGCTTATGAGATGTACATGTAAGTAACTTGATTAGCCACTAGAGGAGATAGGTCCTGAGGAATTTACAGTCTTCAAATAACAGGAGTAGATAAATGGATGAGAAGAAATTTTGTTCTGTTTTGTTCTGGTTGTTGTGGGGTTTTTTTAATCTTACTTACTGGATACAGGGTCTTACTACACAGTTCAGACTCTTGGTGATCTTCCTGTCTCAACCTACTCAGCACTAGTATTACAGATGTACACCACCACACCTGAGGTTCCAGGGCCAGCACAGCATGCAATACCAGAGCTCGAATTCAGGTCTTTGCACTTGCCAGGCAGGTGCTTAGACTTCTGAGCTATCTCCCCAGTCCAGAAATTTTGAAATGAAGTAGGACTAAAGCAACAGACTATGAAAAATAGACTGTGAATCCACTCAATTCAGTTCAGTTGAAAAGATCACAAAGGTTCATGCTGTAGGCTTAGAGAGTAATAGGTAAGCAATATAAAGGAAACCAAGAAAAGATGAACAAAGCTCTGAGACATACCCTGCCTGGTGGAGGGAAAGGGCTGGGACAGTGTGAAGTACACAGAGGATACCAGCACTGCTGAGTGTCACCTCCTAAGCTTTCTTCA